TTGGGGAACGGTACTCTTTTCTTTAATATATTGATATGTTACCTGAAATGATTTGTTGAGAATGAACCATTTTTAAATTTCTGGAATTATTAAATTACAGTTCTTATTTACTGTCTTCAATGAAAATAATGAACCCCAAGATGGTACAAACTGTATTTCATCTGAGTTATTATTAATCACCCTCATATTATGAATAAATCATTTCTAGTTTCAGTCTTTAAAAAAGTGAGTTAGGAGAGCACTTTTACTTTCCAGTACAGAAAATGGAAGGTAAATTATTTCCTTGCTAGGCAAAGAGAGAAGAGAGGAAGATAGTTAATAATCTATTGTTAACTATCCCTGCAAAACTTGCCCCAAACTTAAGCAGCTTAAACCAACAAACATTTATTTTCTCACAAACTTTCCCAGGGTAAAGAATCAGAAGCTGCTTAGCTGGGTGGTTTTGGCTTAGGGTCTCCCACAAGGTTGCAATTTAGTGCTGGTCAGGATGGCTGTCATTTGAAGAAGCTGGAGAATCTGCTTTTGAGATGATTCACACAGCCGTTGGCCAAAAAAAGCTTCAGTTCATCACCATGTGGGTCTTTCCACAGAGCTGTTCACACAACATGGGAGCTGGCTTCTTCCAGCTCAAATGATCCGAAAGAATTAGAGAGAGAGAGAGAAAAACCCTGGAGAGAAGACACCATTATGTGTGTGAGAGTGTGTTTGGAAAGTGGCATTCTACCCCTTCTGCTACCTTCTGTTCTTTACAACAGAGTCACCAAGTCCAGGCCACACTCAAAGGGACAGGACTGCTTAGCTTCCCAAAGGAAGCGATATCAAATGAATTGAGGACCTATTTTTAAAATGACACCTATGAACACTTTTTTTCTAAAACACAGTAAATAAAATATGTACTTCAACTCTATTTCCCACCATTTTTCTACAATGTGTCCTGTCTTCTTTGGGATAGATAGAGTACACTTTACTTTATTCTTATGTCCTTAATGCAAGCCAGACTGTCTGCTTCAACCAGCCCATGGAGAATGCCTAAAAAAGGCATTGCTTTCAAATTTCTACTTTTAATGCTGAAAACATGGAAGAGATGTAAGGCAATATTTTGGTGCTAATTTGTTTATGTGTAAACCCTAATGTTTTTAAAACCTATAATAGGAATATCAAATAGTGTTATTTTATTCTTTCAATTTTTACATGCATAATAGCAATAAAATAATATAAATCTAAATTTATATAATTAGAGCTTTTTTGTGTCATAGTATATGCATTATAACATTTAGTATTAAATCCAGGTTTGTGTGATATACAGGATTTCATAAATTTATATAGGCAAACCAAGTAACTTAGATTAAAAACAAAATCCATATAATTCAGTGTTTCAAAGTAGGAAATGGAGAATCATTTTTTAATGTCACAACATTAATTTACTCTGCTTTACTGTCAAACAGTATTAAGCTTTAAAATATTAACAAATGTCATGAGAGCCTAATCAAATTTACAGAACGTATTTTTACCAAATGTGTAAATGTTTACCGTATTCAACATTCACAAATGTACATTGTATGCAGTGCTCCCATTAACACGAGATCACCAGCTCTCTATATCTCACTACGCCGCATCATAATGGGCACTGGTTGATTTTTTTCTCTCCATGAATAGGTACACAGTGATCATTATCTCACAAGAAGTATCAGTGAATTCCATCTTCGGGCTTCCTTCAACAAACAACTCCGAAAGCAGTACTAAAGTCAGGCTTAGCAAGTCTACTACAAATTCAAACTGGTCAGAGACCATTGTCAGAAAACTCTTCCCATTTCTTTCCACCATTTTATTGAATTATTTATTTATTTGTTTGTTTGATGAGTGAGAGAAACAGAGACAGAGACAGAGAGAGAGATTCATTGTTCCACCCATTTATGCAATCATTGGTTGATTCTTGTAAGTGCCCTGACCAGGCATCATACCTACAACCTTTGTGTATAAGGACAATGCTCTAACCAACTGAGCTACCCAGCCAGGGCACTTTTTTACCATTGTAAATGCCTTGGAGTATAAACCAGCTGTTTCCTGATTCAGCTTTCCTGATAAAGCTGAGTATCTTCACTTTCTCTTTCATAAAACAAAATTGAGGGCAATGAAATTGAGGATCTTTTTCTAAAATGACTCTTTAACTACTGTAATGTGCCCCTTCTTAGTTCAATAAGAATATATCCATTCTCTTCCAAAATTCTTGCAATACTAGTTTAGGGCTAAGCAGCTTCCCAATTTATGTTAATGGTTCTAAACTCCATTCTTATTTCTAAGTATATGGCAAATCCATCCCGTGTGTTTGTGTCTCTCACTGTCCCTTTTTATTTCTCTACCACTTCTCCCTCATCTCTCCTCACCTCTAAATTCTGTATTAGAGGGGAGGAATGCAATCATTTTAAGAACAAATGATTACATTTCAGGAAAGCAATCATTGGAGTGTTTCATCCCCAAAATACTGGGCTAATTGAGACTGAAGATATCAAAACATTCCAGTTCCTTTGGTTTTTCCAACTTAATTTCTGCCATCACCTAAAGGGTGTATATTTGTGTGTTTTTTCCATTACTTGGTTTATTTTTCTCTTCTCCCACCAATTAGTAGTTTCCCAAAAGTCTTATTCACTTCTTCATTTCTGCCATTAAAATATTCTGAGTTCATTTTATTGAATTAATGTCAGTAAATATTTACTGAGTGATCACTGCTGACATCTTATTATTGGGCTTCTACCATAAGCACTTTCTTAAAATAGTCGTCATCATGGCCGACTCTCTCTCAACCATCTTTCTGGCATCTTAAATCTTTTTTCTGTATATTACTGTTTATCCTTTTTGTCTTTAATATGCATATATATGTGTGTATATGTGACTTGTATTGGATGCGGTTTCTTTTCTCCTTAAAATTCCTTCATCTTTTTTTTCCCTTTCCTGGTTCTTTCTCCAGAGACCTGTTGGCTATAGATTTCCCCTAAAATCTCTTTTTTTGAGATACTACTCTTTCATAGTTGATACATGAGGAACTTTGCTGCTCGAATAGCTGCAGATAACATTTGTGTATGGACCAATTTAAGGCCTTTTTGGCTACCTCAAGCTACAGTGCAGAAAACTGCATAAATGAGACTTACTGTGTACAGCTGCTTCTCCTCATTTAAGATATGAATGTGGGAAACATTACCATTTAGTGTGCTTTCGTTGATGAGCTGCCCTTTGTCATACCTTCCACTTGTTGAACATCTCCCACTTGAAAAAAAATTACCTTCACTCTAAGGTATTCCTCTAAAACTCATCTCTCTCTTATTACCTTTTGTCATATTTGTGGATACCATAATAATGGTATAATACATAGACTAAAGTGTCCTCACATCTTAATGAGGGTATTAAGATAAAGCACACCCACCCCTCCTTGGCTGTCAGAGCTGGCAGAAAAATATTTTAATATCATATTAAACTATTAAAATTTTTATTTATGTTATATTATAGAAATAAAATTAATATTGCCAAAAATATCTCTTCAAAAGTGATATTCCTCTTTAATTCAATGGCCTAAATTATCTGAAATGCCCATAAACTAATTCCAGGTAATGCATTTCAGCATTGAATAAACTGAATATCTATAGTTTATGAAGTTATGTTTTTTCCTAAGTTAACTAATTAACCAAGAATAGAGGCTTTATTTTTCAACACATAATGTCTATGTGTTGCTTATTACAATGCATAGTGAAGATAATGATGACAAAGAATTCATATGCAATACCAGGTAACTTTTAAAAATTCTTATTTGTAAGGAAACTGTTTTATTAAAATATGCATATAGAAAAGTGAACAAGGTACATGAATTGTTTGGTGAAGTTTTGCAAGGGATCCTTACATGAAACCAGTACCCAGATCAATAAAAGAACATAATATATTTTGTGACATGTTTTATTCTATTATGAAGAAATGTTTGATGTGAAATTTTGAGTGTTTATTATTGTTCAAAACACACTAAAGAAATCAACAAACACCATTATCCACATTCTCATAATCCAAACAAGGTTTCAGTGACAGATTATATTATGTATAAATATTTTAATGTAGATTTTACCATTAATTTTTATGAACTTAACTTCTTTGAAAATAATCTAATTATAACATTTCTGGATGATGTCACTATACTTCATTGTTGAAGGACAAAGGTATATCACCTTGATTAAACTTGTACTGTGCTTTTTTGTTGGCTTGGTTTTACATTAAACTTCTAAAAGGTATGGGATGTCCCACAGGAGACGTCTTCCCTTTTCTGCGTAGGTTCAGTACTAGACGTGTCACTGGGGAGTGCTGCGTCCCCTGCACTGTGGTGCAGTGAGATGTTTCCATGTCACATAGTCAGAGGGAGGCAGATTAATAGGGAGTTCTAGCTGGAAATTTCTTCCCTGTTATTGTTCTCCCTCAGCGGTTGATGGCTAAGTTAATTCTCTTTAGTTTTGTCATGCTCTAAAGCACACATTGCCAAGCAATGGTAAGCTTTATGAGGAAAAAAAGAAGCAATGGTGTCCATCAAAGTCTTAAAGTTGCATTTTTAAACTTTGGCTTGACCTGATGTGCCATTCAAAACAGCTTCAGAGGACTTTTTTTTTTTAAAAAAAAGAAAGGTTCAATATGTCCCGAGGCTATCGGTTTTGAGTTAAACTGGGTGAAGTAGAAATATTTTACTCATCAGCTTTGCAGTCACAGAGTTTGCCTCAGCTAGAACAAAACTGCTGAGGCATTTAGAGAAAATTAACCCCCCATCCTGGCGGCCAGATGTGACTGGTTTCTGATGAATGCACATGAGTGGACTGAAAAATCAAGAGACTGTGAAATTCCTGTCAGGTCCGTACAGTGCGGAATGGGCTATTGACTGCTTTCTATATTTCCCTCCATCATTCTTCTTGAACACTGCCATTAATTTCCTCCCCTGCTCTGACTTGTGTTTTTTTCCCCCTCCCTCTTCCCCCTAGCTCTGTCAGCTGCAAAGAAGGGTACAGAAGGTGTGGCAGCAATACTTGAAACTGGTGGTCCTCCACAGCCAGATGAGGCTGGCCAAGTTCCAGACAGACTCTCAGGAGAGCATTCACAAAATATTAGCTGTGCAGGTAGGTGATTGCAGGGAAGTAGGAAAGATCATTGTGATCTAGATTGAAAAGCAAATGATGGGTAGTGTGATGAAGCATTAAAACCATATCCCATCAGAGTTTTATAAATTTTTAACCTCTTTAATAAACTGGAATTGCATGAAGGATGAATTCAGTAAGTTAGCATATATACCATGCATACTTTGGGGCAGAAAGGAGATTGAACTTATTTCTCACAAACCTCAGAATGGATTTTTATAAATACATTTGGTGTAAATATATATTTTCAAATCTTCAAGCTCTGCCGATGGTGTTCAGCTGTTTAAAAGACACTGTCAACAGTAGCCTTGTGTTCCTTTTGTGTGAAATCTGCAGCAAAAATGGCACTCATGTTTATTTTATTTAACTGTTTTCTTTCTCCTTCCATTTTGCAAGAGGCTCATCTCCCTAAGCAGGTTTGGAGGTGACTTTATGTGAAAAATAAGCAATTTTGTGGTTTTAGATGCATGTGAAATTTTACTCTTTGTCCCAGTGAAAACTTTCAGTGGATCAATTATCTTAAATTAAGACTATGGTCTATTTTAGAAACCTATATTGACTATGTGAAGACTGTTTTATTAAAATCACTTCAATATTTTCAAATTACTACTACGTAAGATGTTACAATATTATAAAACATGGCCTCCCAAAAGAAAGTACACATCACCTTGTTCTATTAAAAAGCAAAAAACTAGAAGTATTTGTTGTATAAAAAACAAAAACAATGACACATGCTCTTTAAAACCATAATTTTCATTAACTTGCAGCACAAACAATGTATGCTTCACCTAAACAAACTGAATGTTTTTCTAAATATTTTAATTACATGTGCACTCATGAGGCTTTTACCACAAATAAAGAAAAGGATTGTGTAAAGCACTTTCAAAGCTATTTCAAATTTCATTTTTCTGGTGATGATTTTTTGCTATTTTCTTTTGAATGTAGCCCCTGCATATGTATTCCCTATACTTTATATAAGGGTTCTAGTGAAAATGAATAACAAAAAATTTAAAAGGATAGGAGAAATTTTAAGTTTTGAAAAGGCAGAGCTTAAAAATATGTAGGTTTAATGGAAATTAACATACATACAAACTTGAATATAAGTTACAACTGTAGTATTTTAGAAGTCAGGAGCATATTTTTAAAAGTATGTTAACATACATTACATTAAAATTTATGAACTAGCTATAACCTTTGATTTCTTTTTAAATATTCAAAAATAATCTATGTGTTCTAAGTATTATCTTAGAAAAATCCCATATTTCTGCCCAAATATAAATATTATTACAAGTCTCACAAGTGATAAATTCTCATTGTGAATGAGGATACATATTGAAATATTGAAAATGCCAGTAGAAACTATTAGAATATTGGTAAACTGAATTTTCAATCCATAACTTTCAATAATTATTATTCTAATTTTTATTAGAAATTCACCAATAATTTCTCTACCAAACTTGATTTTAAATTCCTTGTTTTCATGGCTGTTAGGGAAACGAAGGAGCAGAGATGACAGGGCAGTGTCGGTAGGAAACCTCAAGTACTCATCTAGAGACACAGCCGCGAGTCTTGACTGTATCCAGGAAACTTGAGGAGCACAGCTTAGTGCATTCTTTTCTTAACTGCGTAGATGTCTTCAATTTAGAATATTTAACTTTTGGCTCAATAAAAATCTGAAAATACAATTTTCAGGTTCTTGCCATAAAACAATAGAAACATGTGCAGTGCTTTGAAAATAAAATCCTAAACTTTCAGCACGGGGCATACTACCATGTACTCTATACATACGTCCCCCCACACCACAGTTTCATTTTTAGCAGCCCATACTTGCTACTTGTTGCAACTCTTCTTTCTAGCAGATTCTAAGCTCCACTGGGGCTTTCCACCATCAGTGAAATTAGTTCAATTCTTGCTCAGGTGTTTTTTACAATGTAGAGTAGCAAGACCACTTATGGAATCTGAAAGTATTCTGTGCCAGTCTTGTTTTCAATGATTATGTCCAATTTTGAAAAAAGAAATCACAGCAATTTAATCTGTTTGCAGAATGAGTTTTCAGGTGTCAATCTACTGTTTGACTCAACAAAGGCCAAAAAATAGCTTAACAGACCAGATGTTATTATCCCTTTCTTTCATATTATTTAATGGTATGCAAATAGTGGGGAATTATTTAATTCTATTTAATGTGTAAAGCTCTTTGGTATCTTATTTGGGAAAAAACTGGGCCTGAACACATCATTTAAATGAGAGAATGTGGTGCAGCTGAAATATGGAAATGCAATTGTAGACTGCATAAGCACGCATATTTTGCCTGGATAGAGGACGTGACAGTTCCCTTGCACTTTTTCAAAGATTGAGTACGTTTGCAGTACTTTATAGAGGTTTGGAAAGCATAGTTTAAGGGTCATATTGATACATTGAAGAGCAGCTGTATAAGAAAGATCAGGGAAAGGGAGGAATATGCAAAATGTAGAATGCTTAATTGTAGAAGGAAAGGACTTCAGAAGAACAAACATTTAAAGAACTGCTAAGTGGAGGTCAGCATACAATGTATATTTATTGTTGAGCTCCAGGCAACACCTGGACCAGTGATGGAAGAGTTTGGGAGGAGGGTTTGGGCTCAATAGAAATACAGATTCTAACAGATGTTGCTGTCCAAACAAGCACTGCCAGTGCTCACACAGAAGTTACTGCACTGGCTGAGGAAAAGTGAATACTCTAAGAACCCGAAGAACATCTCCCCCTGGAATGTTCCCCTGACCTCCCTCTTTGCACAAACATCTGTGCAAGTGTCTTTGTGTCTTCTCCCACTAGAATATGAGACTTGTCTGTTGGAAAGCACATACTATTTGTTCATCTTTATCTTTCTGGGACCAGCTACAGTTCTGGAAACATAAGTACTCCAAAATATTTGTTGAGTGAATTGATTACTAAGTGAAATAGTGAATTGGTTCATTAAGATCGAATGTGATAACCTCAAAGGTTCTTTTCAGCTCTAGGTGCCTACAGTTCTATAATTTACTAAACAAAAGCATTCTCTGGGTGCTTTGCTAGGAATTTTGTTGGGACAGAAGAAAGATGGTTAATCAAGTCTGTCTGTCTGTCTCTCTCTCTCTCTCTCCGCCACTCTCAGGCACACTCACACACACACAACACATCAGTACATACAGGTACAGCTCAGTTTCCTGTATCTTGAAAGGAACTGTGCAAATGAAAGGAAGCCAGAAAAAGCACAGGATAAAAATACAAAATTACTTAACAAGGTGACATAAAAGAAAATCTCTGAAGCTCTGTGATCTTTTAAAGACAAAAGAAATTATAGAAATGTGGTACCTTTTAAAATATTTACATTTAAAAATAGTATGAGCAGTAACATTAAATTGCTAAATCTTACTGGTTAATTCTAGATTGTAATAAAAATAGCGTTTTAATATAGTTACCAAAAATTTAAGAATATCTACTAGCAGTCTAGAAATAAGATTTGTCATCCCCAAACTACTAAAGTAGAAAAGTACCATAAAAATAGAAAGATTTAAAATACAGGAAGGAAGGCAAGAAGACTATAAAAATGTACAAACTGCATCCAAACATATTAGTGAACATAATAACTGTAAATGGTTTCATCACACAATTTAAAGTACAGACCTACAGGTTGGTCATAAAAGCAAAACCCATCTCATTTAGAAGAGATGGCACCTTAGACAAGTAGGGAATGAATGAAGAGTTCAGAAGAGAAAGAATAAGAATTTCTAATTTAAAAACAGAGACAGACAGACAGAGAGACTTCAAGGAAAAAATTTAAAACACTAAAGTATGGGTGCTGATAAAATATTAACTTATTAAGACATATCAAAGCCCTGGCTGGCGTAGCTCAGTGGATTGAGCGTGGGCTGCGAACCAAAGTGTAACAGGTTCAATTCCCAGTCAGGACACATGCCTGGGTTGCAGGCCATGGCCCCCAGCAACCTCACATTGCTGTTTCTCTCTCTCTCTGTTTCTCCCTCCCTTTTCTCTCTAAAAATAAATAAATAAAATATTTTTTTTAAAAAAAGACATATCAATCATGAACTAATTCACATGACAGCATAATTTCAGACTATATAAAGTAAGAACTGATTGAAAGCCAGAGGAAACTTTTAAAATTTATAATCACGATAGGAAATATTAGCATATACCCTTGAACCTTTTAAAAATAAAAATATATGAGCATAACATAGCAAATCCTGTGACTTTTTACTCAACCACAAAAAAATTCAACCACAAAAAATGTATTAATGATCCTGACTTGTGTGGCTCAGTGCATCCGGTATCATCCCACAAGGCAAAAGGTCACTGGTTGGATTCCCAGCCAGGGCACGTGCCTGGGCTGTGGGCCAGGACACACGGTTGGGGGTGTGCCAGAGACAACCTATCGATGTTTCTCTGGCGCATCAGTGTTTTTCTTCCTCTCCTCCTTCCTCCCTTTTCCTCTCTCTAAAAATAAATAAAAATAAATAATTTTTAAAAACAGAATGTATTAATATAATTTAATGTAATGACAGATTAGAGAAAGATTATGTGATTACTGTACATATTCTAAAAAGCATTTGCTAATAAGAGCAACATATACTTTAATAAAAATCACAAAATAGAACAAAACTGCCTTATCTTGATTAAAATATACTAAATGATAAATTACTGGAACCATTTTATTAAAATTAGGGCAAAAAATAAGCATTCCTGCTGCTGTCACTACTGTGCATCTATCTCTGCAGCAAAGCCTTAGCGGTAGGAGGTTGAGAAAAGTTATTAAGCAGTAGAGAGACGATTGACTATATTCAAAAGAAAACAGCAAAAATAGCCACCAGAAGATGAAATTTGAAATAGCTTTGGAAGTGCTTTACAAAATCTTTTTCTTTAGTTGTGGTAAAAGCATCAGGAAGTGCACATGTAATTGAAATACTTAGAAAGAGATTTGGTTTGTTTAGGTTCAACATGCATTGTGT